TACAGAGAATAAGGGAAACAACACACTTCTTACGTTCTTCTTTGATACAGTCCTTATGAGAAGGAACAGACAGTAGAACAAAAGTGTCTCCCCTCAGCAATACTACATGAAACGACCAAAGACGTCAGACTGGGATCATCAGAGTAGCTGTTGAGATCAGTATCAGACAGCTTTACTATGGGTGGAGAACAGAGGAGCGGGATAGTGAAATGATTCTTACCAGGATGGTACAGGAAATAGCACAGTGTCAAGCAGTTGATCCAGTACAGGTGAGAAGGTGAACTCCTTTAATATACCTCAAGGGGAGGGAGTGTATAACAAATTTAACCCTATGTATCATCCTGCTTGTTTGAGCAAGTTCCAGATAGGATTCCCGCATTTCTTTTTGTTGTATTCCATTTCAAAAGTAACTATTATATTTACCAGTTCCTTTCCTATCTTTCTTTTTTTTTCAGCAGAGCATTGTTAGGTCACCTTACCAGTAAGTGTCCTTGGGAAAAACATATAATGGTACATATGTAGTTGTGCTCAAAGGTTTGCATAACCAGGCAGGAATTGTGAGATTTTGGCATTGGTTTTTAAAATATGAAGATCATGCAAAAAATTTTTATTTAATTGAAGGATAGTGATCATATGAAGTCATTTATTATCACATTTTTGTTTGGCTCCTTTTTTGTTTGGCTCCTTTTTAATGATAACAGAAATCACCCAAATGGCCCTGATCAAAAGTGACACACACAGGTGAAAATGGCAATTAAAGGTTTATTTCTCACACCTGTGACTTTTTAAATTGCAATTAGTGTCTGTGTATAAATGGTCAATGAGTTTGTCAGCTCTCATGCGAATGCACTGACCAGGCTAGATACTGAGCCATGGGGAGCAGAACTGTCAAACAAGGTAATGGAACTTTATAAAGATGAAAAAGGATATAAAAAGATATCCAAAGCCTTGAAAATGACAGTCAGTACTGTTCAATCACTTATTAAAAAGTGGAAAATGTGGGGATCTCTTGATACCAAGCCAAGGTCAGGTAGACCAAGAAGGATTTCAGCCACAACTGCTAGAAGAATTGTTCGGGATACAAAGAAAAACCCACAGGTAATCTCAGGAGAAATACAGGCTGCTCTGGAAAAAGACGGTGTGGTTGTTTCAATGAGTAGAATACGACGATACTTGAAGAAGAATGAGTTGCATGGTCGAGTTGCGCCAATGCGACAAAAAAGCCCAGTTACAATATGCCCGACAACACCTTGAGACACCTCACAGCTTCTGGCACACTGTAATTTGGAGTGACAAGACCAAAATAGAGCTTTATGGTCACAACCATAAGAGCTATGTTTGGAGAGGGGTCAACAAGGCCTACAGTAAAAATAATACCATCCCCACTGTGAAGCATGGTGGTAGCTCACTGATGTTTTGGGAGGGGGGAGGGGGGTGTAAGCTCCAAAGGCACAGGGAATCTTGTTAAAATTGATGGCAAGATGAATGCAGCATGTTATCAGAAAATACTGGCAGACAATTTGCATTCTTCTGCACGAAGGCTGCGCATGGGATGCTGTTGGACTTTCCAGCATGACAATGACCCTAAGCACAAGGCCACGTTGACCCTCCAGTGGTTACAGCAGATAAAGGTGTAGGTTCTGGAGTGGCCATCACAGTATCCTGATCTTAATATAATTGAGCCACTCTGGGGTGATCTCAAACATGCAGTTAATGCAAGGCAACCAAAGACTCTGCATGACCTAGAGGCATTTTGCCAAGGCAAATGGGCAGGTATGCCACCTGCAAGAATTAGGGGCCTCACAGTATTAAGAACTAAGGGGATGCAGACTTTTGAACAGGGGTCAATGCATGTTTTTTTGTCGCCACATTTTGTTTTTTGATTGTTTCATTCTGTTATAACCTACAGTTGAATAGGAATCCCATAAGAAATAAAAGAAATGTGTTTTGCCTGTTCACTCTTTTTCTTTAAAAATGGCACATATATTACCAATTCTCCAAGGGTATGCAAACTTTTGAGCACAACTCTATGCCTATCTAAGATTCTCAAAGATTGTAAGCTTGATTGAGCAGGGCCTTCTTCAACTTCAAATATCCTCTTTATATAATTGTAAAGCTCTGTGGAATATGTTGGCGTTACATAAATGCTAATAATAGTAATAATAATCCTTATTGTGAGATTTCTTGCACATCTCATTAAGCCAAAGTTCACTCTTTCCTCATCAGAGACAATTCTCCAAACTTTGTATAGGGTTTGAATGAGCCTAGGAAAAGTTTATTTTAGTTTTTCTACTGTGAATTGCATTGCAATGATTTCTTTAGCAATTGTAGGCAAGGTTAGGAGCTAAAGGGAGGCAACAAATTGTTCCTTAAGAGTGCTGTACGGTTTCTGCTTGCGAGTTTTTGTAAAGGGATGCATAATGTTGAAATATTTGATCTATTGTTTCTGCGTAGTCTTTTCAGTGTCCCAGAGGGAGTGTAATTTTTTTTTTTTTTTTTATATCTTTTTGGCTTCAATTTTGCCTTTTAGGCATTTTGCTAATAAGGTGCGTACTTTATTGCATTTTTCGTTAAAACTTTTTCTCACCAACATGAGAGCTTTGGAAGAGTCTTATAGTGTCAATCTACTCAAGGTGTCTCTAACTGCAATTAACTGTGTTTTGAGGGAGATGCTTGTGTAGACATTTCAAGCATTTCAGCTCAGCCACTGTGTCAGTTGTTGAATATACCGTTAGGTGTTATCGCAACCTTATTAGTTTTCTATTACAGGCTGCAAAGTAGGCTATTTCTGAGTTTCTGGTCAGGGTGTAAAATTTGCTGTTGGAAGGACAAAGCATTTGTCAGCAGTCAAAATTCTCTTTGTTTGGTTAGCATACTGGGAGCCAGATCTTTGAAGTAAGGTTGTAGTCAGTGGTGGGAGTGTTCAGACAAATTTTTGGTGACTTACTAATAATTTTTGCAACTAGAATTTATAAGAAGTGTATCTTATTTATATTGAGATGATATAGGGAGTTGAGAGGGCTCACCTCAAGGAGAGAGGGGTGAAAGGAGAAACTTAATTCTGTTTGTTGCCATTGTGCGCACAAAATTGACACTTGACATTTTTTATTTTTGTCATTGTTTTACTTTTAGCACGTCAGCAAAATCTAAATAAAGAATACTTTAAAAATAAATAAATAAAAATGAATGAATTTATACCCTCTTGTTTTTCCTGGTTACTTTTATTTTTCTAGTTTAGACCATCTAATTGCCCATTTGCATTGTTGGCAACCTTATATTTTATATGATGCCTCCAATTCAATTAACAAACACATCATCTCTATGTAGGTGTTATGGTGCCAGGATGTGCTGGGCGGCATCATACATTTTACAAATGGTTTATCCCCAAAATTGTGGAAACAGAAAAGCCTGCTCTGCCCCCTGGATTCCAGTGATGTCCTAGATTTCAGTTAGGAAACCTGGAGACGCCTTGTACTAGTGGTTCCCGAGAGTGCCACAGAGACTTGTGAACAGCAGAGAAGGGCTGGGTTACAGGTGCCTGGAGGTCCCTATTGAATGTTAAATCATAAAAAAATGGTTTAACACAGATGGTGTTAAGGGACTTAGAGTACCATAATTACTTAAGTTGCCTAGAGTGTTCCTTTCACAGTAGATTGTAAAATTAGTTAGTATATAAATAATAAAAAATTATTAATAGAAATTGAATTTTGGATGTGCCGATGTTATTTCTTATACACTGCAAAAAGTCATCCACAAACAAAGTGTCAATCACCCCAACTATTGAATTAAATGAACACTATAGTCACCTAAATTACTTTAGCTAAATAAAGCAGTTTTAGTGTATAGATCATTCCCCTGCAATTTCACTGCTCAATTCACTGTCATTTAGGAGTTAAATCACTTTGTTTCTGTTTATGCAGCCCTAGCCACACCTCCCCTGGCTATGATTGACAGAGCCTGCATGAAAAAAAAACTGGTTTCACTTTCAAACAGATGTAATTTACCTTAAATAATTGTATCTCAATCTCTAAATTGAACTTTAATCACATACAGGAGGCTCTTGCAGGGTCTAGCAAGCTATTAACATGGCAGGGGATAAGAAAATCTTAATTAAACAGAACTTGCAATAAAGAAAGCCTAAATAGGGCTCTCTTTACAGGAAGTGTTTATGGAAGGCTGTGCAAGTCACATGCAGGGAGGTGTGACTAGGGTTCATAAACAAAGGGATTTAACTCCTAAATGGCAGAGGATTGAGCAGTGAGGCTGCAGGGGCATGTTCTATACACCATAACTGCTTCATTAAGCTAAAGTTGTTCAGGTGACTATAGTATCCCTTTAACGGTGAAGCTCATATTTGGGAAAACAACACAATCTATATAAAAAGAAATATCCAGTATTATTTCCTAGACATATTTCTACGGTGGAATAAGCAGCTAAATATCATGAGTTGATTTAAGTGTACAAAATGTAGGAGCTATGTTTAATGTGCCAAAAAAGTTGCAATATAGTTCCATGTAAACCAATGGAAATTTTCAGGATCCCACATGCAACAGCAGATTGATGTACTTTCACTGCTCCTAAGTGACCATAGTTAAACATTACAAAATAGATAACAATAAAAATGTGGGTAGGGATATGCAAGTAATACTCAGAAAGGCAACTAGCGCAAGCAAGATAAATCAGATCAGTAAATAAGGTGAAGTGAAAGAAGGAACAATAAAAAGAGGGCACAGAAAAACATTTTAACAAATTGAGGCACAACAAAAACACATAGGAAGAGGTGGATTTATAAAACAATCATATTTATAGTTGGTTGTGAAAGTTTGATTTGCCAACAGCATGTTTTTCTTTATCAACAATGTAAACAGAAGAAATACCTTACAATATAAGCTATTTCAAATTTTTTTTTAAAGTTATTCTAATAATTGTATTAAGCAGAATCCATTAGAAAAATAGCAATAATAAAAAAAAAAAAAACAAAAAAAACCCCCAAAAAAACAAAATGCTCAGGCACCCAGTGGTTAAGCAAATAGAGGTTCTATTGGACACAGAAAGGCCAATAAAATCTGTATCGGATTAATCACTGAGTGCCTGGATATTTGTTAATTTTTTTTGCCACCTTAGGAGGATTCCAACAGAATACGTGTTTAATTACATAGAAAAATGTCATGTGGGATTTTGTTGTGCAAAGGTTTTGCTGTTTGGAATAGTAAGTAATCTACACACACAAACAATGTATTACGGAGACTATTCAATACATTTGAGAGAGATGGCTGAAGTTATTTTATAACTAGTTTATTGAACAAGTTTGAAGATGAGAAATAGATGTAAAATGTTATAATACATATTTAAAAACAAAATAAAAATAAAACGCTGTACAGTTTTAAATGAATCAATGTTAAAAGGAACCACTATTTAATCTAACTTAAACTGTCATGGTCTGAGCTTGTTTATTTTTTACTGGGATAACAGTGACTTTTTTTTTTCCATACCAATCTCATCCTGTCTACTATAATGCAGCAAGAATGTCTCTCGAACAAAAATCTCCACCTCGGTGAAGAAAACAAACTAAACCAAACCAAACAATGTGTCTCAAACAGAAACCTGTTAGGAACTCAAATGTGTATTCCTAACACTATAGTGGCCCTGGTGTCCATTTAGATGACCAGCTTCCACCAGGTAGGGAGAGGGGGAATTAAAAAAAAAAAAAAAAAAAGTACTTTTACTTTCCTTTTCTCCCTCGCAGCGCTGGTCTCGTGGCTGGCCATGCAACCTTGGCTGAGATCGAGATCAAAGATCTCAGCCGCTCCAATGCTTTGATAGAAAAGCATTGGGAGGCAATAACGCATGACTTTAAAAATGCAGCACCAATCAGATGGTCTCCATGAGAACATCTACTTGAAAAAGAGTTTTACTCTGCTATGTCGGCGGAAGCGCCTCTAATAGCTTTCTGCGTGGCAGCCCAACATTTTAACCCAACTATGAAAACATTGTGTTCTGTGTGGCGGAGGGGTATTTAATGGTCTAACACTAGAAAGTAAGACGGACCAGATGACTCTTTGAATTGATACGGTGACTGCTAAAATAAAGCTCAACAAATCCACCGCACCAGAATACCACATGCAGTACATTAGTATTTTACTTGAAATATATATACACACACATGTAAACAAAATATCCACGTTTTGGATCTTAATCAGGAATATATTACTTTTTTGTAGCATAACATGTAGAATTTGGATGATAAGCTGATTTTTGTTCTATGCAACAGTTTTATTTTATGTAATTCTGTAAAATTTAACTATGGAACATGTTAGGATTAAGGTTTGCTAGAGATAAATTGACTCATATGAAAAAGTAATAATGGATATAGAATAAAAAAAAGACAGGGTCAGATAGTTATTTGTTTTTTAAATTTTAAACACAATGCACTAACAATACAGAGTGTTCTAAACCAGGAGCTGTATTTATTCAAAACAGAGCAAACTCAAATAAAATAGAAATAGCAGAGGAATACAAAATAGAAGAATGTTAAATTTGCCCACAAAGCACAAGAAGATTTGTCTGTAAAAGCAAAAACAGTCAAATTAGTTCGGAACAGCCAGCAGCGGAAATATTGGGTTTTAAGATCAGATCTGTGGTAACTAAACAGATGAGCCATTTTACAAGCTAAAATATGTAACAGATGTAGATTCTTCATCATCTGGGGTTCCAAAATATAGGTGAAGGTTTGTACTGGTTATGGACAAAATGTTAATCAGTGCACTTTTGCGCTTTGCCTCAGAAGAGTGACAATGTTCAGACAAACCAGCATTTGTTGAGTAGTAGTCTAGAGAATCATACAAAGTCATTGATGAGCTGCAACTCAAAAACCTGAAGATGTTCTTTTAACTTTTCTCTTACATCGGTCTGTGCTCGTCTTTCGCGCACATGTTCGTGCTGCAAAGCAGAGATTCGAAGACGCAGTCGCTGTTCTCTACGCCTGCATGCCTCAAGCTGCCTTTGCACCTTGCTCAGTGCTTCTAGGGCAGCCTCAGCTCTCTTCTTCCATAACAGAGCATTTCCAACATGGTAGCTATGCTCACTTTGGATATAAGCACCTGGAGGCTGTGGGTGGCGTAACATGTACACAGAAGGAGAGACCGGACGTGTAGATACTCTTTCCTTTATACTGGAACCAGCTGCTTGTGCAACTTCCGACATCTCAGAAGTAATGTCAACCCTCACATTAGAGTCCAAACCATTGTCTGAAATAGGCCCATTAATAACCGAGGCAACTTCCATGTCTTCCAGTGTAGCCGCTGGATGTGCTAGGTGGTCAGCTGTGGTCGCAACAGCTCCTTCAGCAGGTGCTGTGTCAACTGGAATATCAACATTTTCAGGGCAGAGTCCATGGAAGTTCATAAGATTAGAAATAGGGACACTATTAAACCTCTGGCATGAATCCTCTGAGGGACCGGTATTCTCTGACAAGCCCAAGTTAAATTTTCGTTGAAGATTCCTGTAAAGAAAAGAAACAAAAACTTAAACTAAGATCCCAAGCTGAAATGCATACAATTGCTTAGTTTTGTCTTCTCACAGTTCCTGTCAATTGTATTATTTAAAAACTTTAAAGAAAGAGTGAAGAAAAAACCCCCAAAAAACTGGTGCGCCATTTCACTCTAAAAACACTTCTTTATCAACTATTGTTGTGTAGACACATTTATAACAAGCAGCCTATTACATTGCTCTCTTTAATAACATATATAATGATATACCTTGTATATCAGGAACTCACAAATGGATATCACAAGTAACAGACTGGTATAGCACTTAGACCTGCACGGTCACGCCTCCCTGCCTGCCATCCAAAATTTGTATTTCATAAAAAAAAAAAAAAAAATCTTTAATCATGAAAAAAAAATTTAACCCAGTACATACAGGTGCATGTAAAGTATATTTATTGGAAAACCATCAAAGGTTTCGCTCTCACAAGAGCCGAAAAAGTTGAGGGGTTTTCCAATAAATATGCCTTACCACCAGTATGTAACTGCAATGTTTAACATTGCAACACTAGGTGCAAAAGGGACACTGCACCCAGACCACTCCAATGAGGTGAAGTGGTCTTGGTGCCTACAGTGTCCCCATTTAATTATTATTGATACGTTGTGAATGGTCCACCCTGGTGTACATGTGATATAGATGGAAATTATTAAAGGGATCCAATAGTGCCAGGAAAATAAACCCATTTTCCTAGCACTATAGGCTCCTGGAGTGCCCCCCTCCCTCACGTCTGCAAGAGTACAACTGATGTTGAAGTTGAAGCAACTGGAGCAGAAAAAGACTGGCAGCAAGACGATGGCGGCAGCCGCAAGTGACAGGATCAGGTAAGTAGAAGTCACTTTCCCTGGATCCCCTTGTGCACCGTACTGCCAGGGTCACCGATGGGGGGTCTATGCAAATTATGCATTCGCTGGCTGATTCTCTCAACTAATGAATGAGAGACAGGTTCCGCATTTGGCTTTGAAAGAAGCAAGACGTCGTAAGTCTTCTTAAAAGGAGACACATGTAAGAGGGCAAACTATTGTAAAACAATTTGCCCCATTAGTATGACATGGCTCCAGGGTTACAGGGGGTTATGATGCATGGAGTAATCATTTAATGATAAAAGTCGACAACCTTATGCCAGCCCTAGGAGATTACATTTCAGTTTCAGGCTTGAAGAAGGTCTGTCTGACAAAAATGTTTCTTTTATATTTGTTGGTGGAATATTATTTCAGGGTCATGAATTATAAACCAGACCTTTCTGTGTTTAATTATTGTGAGGAAGTAGTGCACATTTGTCTGGGGCACCCGTGTAGGGCCACTATTTAAAAGGAACATTATAGGCACTATAGAAACCAGAGGTCTCCCGCACCCCGCTCACATTCAAGGTGCTCAGCTGATAAACAAAAGGGGGATTGAAGCAGCGCTTAGAAAACGGAAAAAAAAAAAAGCTTTACAGAGGCAGCAAACATGAAGGGTAGGGGATTTCCTCCAAAACCCCTAAAACAGGTGGAGACTAGAAAACCAAAAACTCAGGATGCGCCAAAAGACAAAAAACAAGATAATATACAACAACAGGTAAAATCAGATAATGCCCCTTTAACCCCTTAAGGACACATGACATGTGTGAAATGTCATGATTCCCTTTTATTCCAGAAGTTTGGTCCTTAAGGGGTTAAAGATAGATTTTAACAACAGAAAACCAGTCTAATGCACATGGCGGCGTCACAAACCTGATTCATGTTAGAAGATCGGCCGCAGGGAGCAGCACATTCATACTTTGTTTACATTGATAGTAGCTCTACGGAGCCATGACTAATATTTCGATTTTTGTCATTGTGACACTATCACAACTACCCTCGCATAACCGGAACGGATTGTTCCTTTCGTATGTGATTATTCTTGATTCAGCTGTTATAGCTGAATCTGAAAGGAGACTTGCATCAACTCCTACTCAGTTAGTATAATTACTAACATTTCTAGGTCATTCCTAGGATTAGAATTCATCCCTGTTCTTTTAGTTCAATATTTCTTTAATCTGTTTATTTTTCACATTCAACTATTTTTAAATCACACGTTCGCACTTAGATTCTCATTTTGAATTCGTACCTTGTGATTACAGTGTTGTGAGGCACAGATACAATGACGCGTCTACTGGCACCGCTACCACAATAGGGACCTTGAACATACTCTCCGACAACGTCAGGGGACTCAATAGGTTGAATGCCGATGTGATATTTGTGCAGGAAACACATTTTAGAGGAAACAATGCCCCTAAGTTGACGCACAGAAAATTTCCACATGCTGTCAGGTTTCTATCCTGACAACCAAGAATTTTGTTTCTTTTTATTTCTGTTTCTATAAAAAAAAGAAATTCACAGTTTTCTGAACTAGTAGCCTCCCTAGCCACTAGTCTGAACAAACTTTCACCTGCCTATCACATCAGTTCAACCTGCTATAAGAGGCCACACAATCTGCCTTGACATTGATTGTAGTTACGTTCTGATCCTGGCTCCTTCTGTAAAAACCTGTTATATCCTGGAATTATTCCTTTCAACCTGCTAATTTCCAAACTTGCTTACTACCCATACGCTTGGAGAAAACCTGCTTATTATCCATACGTTTGGAGAAAATCTACTTGGAGAAAACCTGTTTCCTACACATACACTTGGAGGTAACCTAATCTGTGATTGCTACCTGTGTTATACATTACTGGACTTGGATTTAATATTGAATTGTTACTAAATTTACGGAAAACTACTTAACCAACGTGGAGATTACAAACAGCCTTGATAATTACAATTATCCTAAAGGATTCTAATTCAGCTTTCCAAAATCCTGCTATACAACCTACAAACCAAAAGAGGCTTAACAACTAAATGTCTGACTGATCTGTATTATTTTATCCTTTATATTTCTGTTTAGTTCTGTCTATCGTATTTTGTTTTAACATGTAACCTATAATTTTCAGTTATAGGTTTTCGTCTCTTTATTTCCTGTAATATCTATTCTATGCTATCCTGTTACTAAAAATCCTACCTGGGGCATATTGCCTAAACCTTTAATTTCGGTAATCTACTTCTACCTTACCTAGAACTTCCTTTATAGGTTCTCTTTCTTACTTCTACCTATATATCTTGTTGTAGACATATATTTAATATTAGTAACATGTCTATTTACTTAGATATTGCTGTTGGAGCACCCCCTCCAATCCTGTGTTCATTAACTGCTCAAAATGGCTGCAGCCCTCCCATCATGTAAAGAATGTGAGGAATGTCATTTGCTAAGATGGCGTCTCAAGCCAGGACTACACCCAGGATGCTGGTGACATCACACTTTGAAGGAAGGGCATTAGATAAGACACTTAACACTCGACCAATTAAAGATGTATTCTCTGTTATCTTGCTTTCTGCATATGATGTATTTCTGCCTTTATAAGGGGCTCCCCGCCCCCTGATTAAACATTCCTGAAGTTCTTTAATCAACCAGAAACTTGTGTCTGGTGTGAATTTACTTTAGGAGCGTGCAGGCATTAAATATCAATAATTTGGCTAGGGGCAGATATTCAAATCATCAAACACTTGGTTTGGTCCACAACAATCTCATAGGTTCTGCTTCTACCTACTTCCTGTTAATTCCATCTGAGGAAAACAAGACACTACATACTATGCCTTTTCTGCAATGGGAGGCACATAAATACGTCATTAGAGGGGAATTAATAAAATGGGGATTTTTTTGAAAAAAAGGGTATTAAAAAGCAGACTGAGTTACTGACTGACATTAAACAACTAGAAGAGGCCCAAAAGATTAATATGTCTGAACTAGATTATTGTAAACTTCAATCCCTCAGATCTTAACTTACCATATTGCTACAAAGCTAAAAAAAAACACTCCTTTGGACTAAACAACTATTTTACGCCCAAGGCAATAGATGCGGGAGATTATTAGCAAACGCATTAAAACAGAGACAGGAACGGACGTATATCACACAGATCAAGACGACCACTAATAAACTGGTGCATTCTAATGAGGAGACAGGGGGGACATTCTGTGACTTATATCACTCGCTTTATATTATCTCTAAAGGGGCATCAGACCCAGACAAAACCAGGGCATATCTGGCAGATAAATTCGATAGGGTCCTCCCAAACATAGTATCGCGATCGCTTGATGAACCATAGAGGAATTAACTAATGTTATCAAGACCAACCCTTCGAATAAAAGCCCAGAACCGGATGGTTTCTCAGCGTCATATTATAAAAAAACTTTCTTGAAAGAATTAAGCCCTCACTTAGTGGAAGCCATTAACTCTATAGGACCAAGAAACCAACACCTCGATCTAGTCTAGAAGCCAATATCACACTCCTTCCCAAGCCCAGGAAAAACTTAGAGTCACGTGGAAACTACATCCCGATCTCATTGATAAACGTGGACATGAAAATCTTAACCAAAATGCTGGCCTTGAGGTGGAGACCCCTACTCCCAGGGTTAATACACCCTGACCAGACTGGATTTGTGCCCTCTAGGGAGGCTAAAGACAACACCACAAAAATATTCAGTCTCACTCATGGGGCGCAGCATGATAAGGTTTCATCCATTATGCTGGCAATTGACGCAGAAAACGTGTTTCACAAGGTGGACTGGAGCTTCCTTTTGTCGAAGCTGGAAGTACTGGGGTTTGGTCAGAGGTAGATGCAGTGGATCAAGGCAGTATACTCATGCCCTACGGCAAAACTAAAGATCAGTGGGCAATTATCGGAATCATTCCATATTAAAAACGGGACCCATCAAGGGTGCCCCTTATCTCCACTACTATTTATCCTGGTTCTGCAGCCCTTATAGAATGCTGTGCGACAACAGCCTCGACTAGAGGGTATGACAGTGGGCAAACAAGAATACAAAGTATCAGCTTTTGCAGATGATCTATTGTTTACTCTGGGTAACCCGACTAGCTCTTTCCCATTTCTAATGAGCGAGCTGTTTACGTACAGTGAACTGTCTAATTTTAAAATAAATATAACAATTTAAATTCTAAACCTTACGGTAAACGATACAGACAAATCGCAATTACAAGTGCAATATACCTTTCAACGGGCCCAACGATCTATAAAATATTTAGGTGTTAACTTAACCCCTCGCAACAAAGATTTATACACAGCTAACTTCCCACAATTAGTAAAATCCATTCGTAGGGACTTGGATAATTGGGATAGGCCACACTTCCGCTGGTTTTAACATTATCCAGATGAATATCCCCCCCAGGCTTTTGGATCTTTTGAACACACTCCCTATCACTGTCCCACGGAAATTTTTCAAGACGATACAGATTTATCTGGGTCAAAAAACGACCAAGAATAGCATACAATATTCTCACTAGACCTAAAGACCAATAAGATGTAGGCCTTCCCGACATATGGCTCTACTACCAGGCAATTCATCTCCAAGGTATTGTCGATTGGTCTATACCAGTGATGGCGAACCTTTTTGAGCCCGAGTGCCCAAACCGCAGTACATGTCAACTTTTTTCCCTCAAAGTGCCAACACGGCAATTAAACCTGAATACCGAGGTTTAAGTTTAGAAAGAAAAAAAAAAAAAAACTCATACAGTTGTCCGAACTAATTCGCCTCTTCTCTCCCCCCAGCATCTCCTCTTCTCTCCCCCCGCCCATTGCTGCTCAGCCTGATGGTTTCTCATTAGCCCAAGCAACACAGGAGGTGAAGAGCTTCTTCTTTTTTTTTTTTTTTACACACTTAAAAAAGTGTACAATATATACAGAGTTATAACATTAAAAAAAAAATGTCCAAAACTCATAAAATCCGGTGATAACGACAGAATTTAGACTAAATTGTCAGTTCACAAATTTACTAATGCTAAACATGGTCAGGATTAGGAAAAATTTGCTATATCCATATCTGAACAAATTTCAAGCACAGAAATCAGAAACTTAACAACCACATGGTGGTAAAAGATAGATAGAATGCACATTTACAAATTGTCATTCACTTGCTTTTTGCTATAACAAAAAAACCACACAAAAAAAAACGGGTGGTGGCTACTTTAAATATTCATGGCGAAGGTCTAGTGCCACCCCATGGACAACTGGGGGTACTGATATTAATAACAAAGGGTGGAGGACTCTAACCCCCTCTCTGGCCTCCACCTATGGGCGATGGATGGGGGCTCTAATATTAATACCAAATTGGAGAAAATCCATAATATCTACACTGAATACACAAACTTACGGTTTTCGTTTTGCTTTTGCGTTCTTTGCAGTTTTTCTTTTTTGCGTTTTAGTTTTTGCTGATCTTCGGTGCTTCGTGAAAGGCAAAAATATTGTTGGAACAGCATCCTCCTTAAGACGATGATAGCCACTGTACAAAACACAAAAGCTGAGGGATAAACGGACAATTCCTTCACCACAGTTTTATTTTGTATAGACATTATTTGAAGTGTAGAATATACAGATCCATGGAATTAAAAAAAAAAAAAAAAAAAATACCATGGGTCGACTTTGTCGGTTCTGTTTTTTATACCATAAATACATTTTAGTTAATGACAAGGTTTTTCTCTAAAGAAGGAAGTATTGGGCATTCAGATTTATATTTTAAGTTTGGCTACTTCGTACTTAAAACTAATATTTACTATGAATTTCATTTGAATTGCCAGCAATTCTCACTTTAGTGAATAATCATAAAAGCGTTTTGCCTGGTTATTCACTAAAGCAATTGCGAAGCAAGACTTGGAAAAACCAAATGTGGAAATATCCACACCAGTGCAGCCACAGCACTATAAAGTAGAAGGCCATTTTTGTAAAGTAGGGAATACAGCAATTAATAGAATGCAGTTGACTGTGCTATCATAACTGTGGATTCTAAAGTAAAGTTTTTGTTTGTATGTTTGACAAAAAAAAAAAAAAAAAAAACCACATTAACCCCTTAAGGACTGGACTGTTTTTGCGATGTTGTACATTTGCGACCAGGCATATTTTTACACTTTTGTGGTGTTTGTGTTTGGCTGGAATTTTCCGCTCTCTCATTTACTGTTCCCATACAAATTATATATTGTTTTTTTCAGGACAAAAGGGGCTTTCTTTACATACCATTATTTATATAATCTCATGTATTTTAATTTAAAAAAAATAAAAAATATGATGAAAAATTGAAAAAAATACATGTTTTTTGACTTTTACTTGAAAAATCTTTTACTCATCTACAAAAGCGAATGAAAAAAACTGCTAAATAGATTCAAAATTTTGTCCTGAGTTTAAAAATACCCCGTGTTTACATGCTTTTTTGCATGTTATAGGGCTATAGGTACAAGTAGAATATTGCGGTTTCAAAACATAAATTTTTAAAATTTATCAATAGTGACATTGTAACACTATTATCTGTCATAAATCTCTGAATAACACCCCACATGTACATATTTTTTTTAAAGTAGACAACCCAGGGTATTCAATATGGGGTATGTCCAGTCTTTTTTAGTAGCCACTTAGTCGAAAACACTGGCCAAAGTAAGCATTCATATTTGTTTGTGTGTGAAAAAAGTAAAAAAACTAAATTGAACGCTAATTTTGGCCAGTGTTTGTGACCAAGTGGTTACTAAAAAAGACTGGACATACCCCATTTGCAATACCTTGGGTTGTCTTCTTTTGCAAATGGTATGCCATCATGGGGGTAATTCTCATTCCTGGGCTACCATACGCTCTCAAAGGCAACGTAACCAACCTGGCCATTTTCAATGTAAACATATTTGACCCATATATTTGACCTTGTAACTTTCAAAAATGCTATAAAACCTGTACATGGGGGGTACTGTTTTACTCGGGAGACATCGCTGAACACAAATATTAGTGTTTAAAAACTGGAAAACGTATCACAACAATTATATCATCAGTAAAAGTGCTGTTTGTGTGTGAAAAATGCAAAAAAAGTCACTTTCACTGACAATATCATCGCTGTGATATGTTTTACTGTTTTGAATCACTAATATTTGTGTTCAGCGAAGTCTCCCGAGTAAAACAGTACCCCCCATGTACAGGTTTTAGGGTGTCGTAGAACGTTACAGGGTAAAATACAGTGCTAGCAAATTCAATTCTCTGGAATTTCGGCCTGGGTTGGCAGGCAGGTCCCTTAAATTGCAATCAATAAAATTACTGAATTATGTAAAACTATTACATAAATACGCACGTAGAATTTAAATATATATGCATATTTATATATCTGAAGTCTACGTGTATATTTATATAATTATTTATGTAATTTTGTATATGGCCATATGTATATTTCTTATTATTTTTATTTATTTTTATATACATAGATATAATACAAATTCATTCTAAGTGTATTTTGATATAAATATATATATATTAATTTTAAAATACAGTTAGAATAAAATTTCATATAGATATAATTTTTTTTAATTTTTTTATTATTTTAAATTTTTTTTATTTAATTTAAATTACTTATTATTTATATTTTATAATAATATATATATATACAATATATATAGTTATTATATATATTATATATATACACGTGTGTAATTTAATTATAAGTGTATTTTTATATTAATATAAGTACATATTAATATAAAAATACACTTAGTATGGCATTATATATATATGATATATGATATATAGACATATATTATATAGATATAATATATGTCTATATATCATATATACACATATATAATTATTATTTTTTTAATTAACATTAACTTTATTTTATTTTTTATTTTACACTAGCAGGGGGACTGCCTGTCAGCACAGACAGTCCCCCTGCAGGCAGCACTATGGACACCTATTGTGACCATGTGATCGCTGTGTTAAGCGATCACATGGCCACAGGGGGTCCTAATTCAGTGTGGGGAGACTGTCTGGGCTGCAGGCAGTCTCCCCACAACCGGAGCCATGCTGATCGACGCCGGGGGAACGACGGCGATCAGGTAAGTAGCTCAGACCGTTAGGACGGTTCAGGACCGTCATCGGTCCTCAAGGCAAAAATGCCTTGGTCGCTAAGGGGTTAAAAAAGCAAAAACACACCGTCTTAGAGTAAAGTGCACAGAAGCACTGACTCTCTGGCACACTATATAATAGAGATATTTAGAATGACATAGGCACCAATATAATCTCTGAAATGTAAGTCTTGAAACCTTTACATTAATCAAAATAGAAAACAGCCTTCTTGCAGATTCCACACAGGGTTAGCGCATTAATCCTTCAGACATCCTGTGACAAAGAGTGAGTTCTTCCAGTACCTACCTAACACTCATTTATAATTGATCATTTAATATAATATGAAACATTTTATAGGGGGGAAAAAAAACTTAAAGGGACACTGCCCAAATACAAAATAAAAATCACTGTTTAGTAGATATGTCACAAATGACAGCATGCATTCAATTATGTATTCATTTAATTTAGGGTATTTCTAAAAACCTGAATTTCTTTTGTCTGTAGCAGGACCTGTTGTCTGTTTGAAAGTGTTACCATGTTAATTTATAATAGTGTCAATTTCTATTGAAATCTACACTTTTTGCAAAATGAAGGAAAAAAAAAAAGGAAACACTCTTCATACAGCAACCTAAAGTACTTTAGGGCTCTGGAGTGTCTGACAAAAACACCCATCTACACTTTTTCTAAAGTACGAACGGGTCAAAAACTCTCAAATCTCTCCCAGACACTGTTTTGAGATAGATTGTGAAAATAAATATGCTCTATGCCTGCACTCTGCTTGCTTACATTTGACAGTGATAAGCAACAGAGGACAACTGCACGATACATCAAGAAATTCTTTGAATTTTGATTTTACAGCAATGTAAAGTGGAAAGAGGTGAATAGCACCTCTGCACAATCAGTTTGTGTGTGTGTATGTATATATATGTGTGTGTGTATATATATATATATATATATATATATATATATATACACACACACACATATATATATATATACACACACACACACACATCACATATACTCGAGTAAAAAACAAAATTCCACCACAAGGGAAGGAATAGATATAGGTGGATTGGCGCTAGAGAACAGAGCAGCAACTACCCCCAGTGTCAATAAATCACTCAAAAGACACTTACAAACAGTAATAAAATAAAATAGCAAAGTGGGGGGTGCAGTGTACAGATAAAAAGCAGAACACGTATATACTTATAGTAAAACGTTCCTTTGGCTTAATCTGAAAAACATAAAAAGTCCATACATAGTGTAACACTGTAAAATATAGGACTAGTAGATGTAGAGGTATTGGGTCACTCACAATAGATAGAGCCTAGAAAGCAGGCTCAAACTTGATGGCATGTGGAAAATCAGCTTTCCCAAGCTTTACAGACTGGCTCCAAACTCCTCCTATAGGTACTGGTGATCTGCTCCAGACGTAGGAAGGATTGATGATAGACCAAAATATAGTGGTATTAAAAAGTATTTACTTTAAATAAAACAATAAAATAAAATGTAATATAAAATAGTATTACATACAATAACACAACGCGTTTCGACTAAATGTCTTTATCAAGTGTATAATGTAGGTCCTCATCCGGCGTTCTTTTTATATCCTCGTTACCGGAAATGTGGTCTTCCCGCCAAAAAGTTCTTCCGGTATGGCGTCATGACGCACGTTCCGTCGTTACGTCATGACGCACGTGACGTCCGTACATCACTTCCTGTAAATTCGCTCGGCGAAACGAGGGCAGCCAGAAACACCATTTTACAAAAGGGCAACAATGTAGTATATACATGTACACAAGCAAATCTTCAAATAAAATGGAATAAGGACATATTCTCATTGAATACAAACAAATCTTGTATGAAAAAAGATAATAATAATAATAATAAAAGGGCATTACATAGCAATATATTTAAAATGCAAACATAGTATACCTCCATATTATAACTATATAAAGCTTATAGACATATACAATTAAAAAATATAAGAAATATAAAAACAAATGAGGTTCAAAGAACATATATCTAAAATGGAGAGAAAGAGAAGTAATATTAACCATATTGAATATCAATATATAAAACAATCAGATAAGAGCTTTCATTTCGAAATCGACATTGAGACCATTAGGAGATAAGGTGTCCAGATTGAAAATCCACCTCATCTCACTACGGCTCAAGGCTGATTCTCCATGACCTCCCCTCCAATGGGGTCTAATTTGTTGTATACCATAAAACATAATTCCTGTGGGGTCTCCTCCATGATTTTTAAAAAAATGTAAAGAAACATTATGTTTCAGGAAACCCTTTCTGATATTATATATATGTTCGCGTATTCTAGTTTTAAATGTCCTTGAGGTCCTCCCAACATACTGGAACCCACAAGGACATACGAGAACATATATAATATTCTTAGAGTGGCATGAAATAAAAGAATCTATTTTGTAGTTGTATGATCCTGCACGTGATCTGAAACTTTCTAGTTTTTTGGGTTTATTTTTATATATTTTGCACCCCATACAGTCATTACAATAGTGAAAACCTTTATCGTTTTCCCTATGAATACTTATAAAATTATTGTTATTCTTAGGTTTATCTAGATAACTAGAAGTTAAAATTTGCCTCAAATTTTTTGCTCCTCTATAAACAATTTTCGGTTTGTTTCCAATATAAGGCAAAATTTCAGTATCCTGTTGTAGGATATGCCAATTTTTGTTAAGAACTTTTTTAAGTGCTATATGTTCTTTATTATAATTAAAAATCATTGGAATCTTCTCACCCTTTTCCTTATCTCTGGTTTTATAAGTTAGAAGAGAATCTCTATTTGTTTCTTTCACCATCCTAATTTCATCTTCTAATTTTTCAGAATTATAACCCCTATGCATAAACTGTTCCTTCAGGGTATTAGCTTGGTCTTCAAAAGAATTCAAATCCGTGCAGTTACGCCGTATCCGAATAAACTGTCCCTTAGGGATATTGTCGAGCCAGGGTAAAAAATGACAACTATCCTTATGGATATAACTATTGACATCCACAGGTTTAAAAAAAGTACGAGTTTTAATAGTCTGGTCCTGTATAAAAATTTCCAAATCTAAAAAATTAATACTCTCTTTAGCAATCTCCTGAGTTAAATGAATATTCCACTGATTGGAATTTAAAAACTTAATAAAATCCAAAGCCGAAGCTTCATCCCCCTTCCAAATTAAAAAGATGTCATCAATGTATCTTTTATATAGGACCAGGTTCGCACTCCAGTCATGCTGGGAATACACATATCTGTCTTCCCAATAGGACATAAATAAATTAGCATAACTGGGCGCGAACCTGGTCCCCATGGCTGTCCCTCTACATTGTAAAAAAAAATTATCCTCAAACCAGAAGAAATTGTTATGGAGGATAAAAGATATTCCCTCCATAATAAAGTCAACCTGTTCAACAGGATACAATGTAGAGGATTCTAAAAAGAAACGTGAAGCTAAACATCCTACATCGTGATCAATGCATGTGTACAAACTAGTGACATCACATGTAATGAATAAAAAGTCTTTTTCCCATTTGAAGTTTTTTAAAATTTGTAATAGACTCATAGAGTCCTTCAAATATGACAAACTATGTTTAACTAAGGGTTGGAGGTGAGTGTCTACATATTTGGATAAATTAGACAGAAGGGATCCAACCCCTGAGACAATCGGTCTCCCTGGGGGGTTGGATGCATCCTTATGTAATTTAGGTAAGATGTATATAGTTTCTTTAGAATATAGGAGAGAAAACAGCCCGCCATTAAGATCAAAGAGAGAAATCGAGACTTCCAATCGATTTGAACCAATTAGGGATCTGGAGAATCAGAGAATGATTCCTTTTTTAGAGAAAAGATGGAGGGAACCTCCTACTCGAACTCCCATCCCCCAAAAGAGACGGTACAGGGATATAGAAGAAGGGGAAATAGAGGAGGAAAGAGACTGGAGAGACCGAAAAGAAAAAATCATGAAGAAATAAGGATTTTTAATTTGTCTAAAAAGGTTCTTAATTTAAATGAGAAAAATGTTTTAAATAAAGGTTTTAAATTCGCACCAAGTTGTATTATGGATAAATTTGAGGCATATACTGATATTAATAGGTTTATGAGGAGATTATGTCTTAAAAATTTTTTTAATCAAAAACCTAAAATGGAAGACAATACTATTGAGAATGCAACTTTTTTTCATCATACGGATTTAAAACCTCAGTCATCCTTTTATCCTATACATTTAAAATCCAATTCTATGAAAGTCTTTGAAAGGGCATGTGTTAAAGACATCAAACAAATTAAAATGAATAAGAGAGATAATTTAACTAAAAAAGAGAGACAGGCTATGCAGAATTTAGGGAGAGATTCTCAAATAGTAATAAAGCCAGCTGATAAGGGAGGTGGTGTGGTCGTAATGGATAGAGATAAGTATATCTCAGAGATCGAACGACAATTAGAGGACCATAATACATATAGGAAATTAGATGGAAACCCACAGATGGAGATAAATAAAAAATATAAAGAATATTTAGAAAAAGGTTTTGTTAAAGGAATTATAAATCAAAAAGAATATACTTTCCTGGATATAAAATTACCAAAAATTCCCGTTATATACATCTTACCTAAATTACATAAGGATGCATCCAACCCCCCAGGGAGACCGATTGTCTCAGGGGTTGGATCCCTTCTGTCTAATTTATCCAAATATGTAGACACTCACCTCCAACCCTTAGTTAAACATAGTTTGTCATATTTGAAGGACTCTATGAGTCTATTACAAATTTTAAAAAACTTCAAATGGGAAAAAGACTTTTTATTCATTACATGTGATGTCACTAGTTTGTACACATGCATTGATCACGATGTAGGATGTTTAGCTTCACGTTTCTTTTTAGAATCCTCTACATTGTATCCTGTTGAACAGGTTGACTTTATTATGGAGGGAATATCTTTTATCCTCCATAACAATTTCTTCTGGTTTGAGGATAATTTTTTTTTACAATGTAGAGGGACAGCCATGGGGACCAGGTTCGCGCCCAGTTATGCTAATTTATTTATGTCCTATTGGGAAGACAGATATGTGTATTCCCAGCATGACTGGAGTGCGAACCTGGTCCTATATAAAAGATACATCGATGACATCTTTTTAATTTGGAAGGGGGATGAAGCTTCGGCTTTGGAGAGAGTATTAATTTTTTAGATTTGGAAATTTTTATACAGGACCAGACTATTAAAACTCGTACTTTTTTTAAACCTGTGGATGTCAATAGTTATATCCATAAGGATAGTTGTCATTTTTTACCCTGGCTCGACAATATCCCTAAGGGACAGTTTATTCGGATACGGCGTAACTGCACGGATTTGAATTCTTTTGAAGACCAAGCTAATACCCTGAAGGAACAGTTTATGCATAGGGGTTATAATTCTGAAAAATTAGAAGATGAAATTAGGATGGTGAAAGAAACAAATAGAGATTCTCTTCTAACTTATAAAACTAGAAATAAGGAAAAGGGTGAGAAGATTCCAATGATTTTTAATTATAGTAAAGAACATATAGCACTTAAAAAAGTTCTTAACAAAAATTGGCATATCCTACAACAGGATACTGAAATTTTGCCTTATATTGGAAACAAACCGAAAATTGTCTATAGAGGAGCAAAAAATTTGAGGCAAATTTTAACTTCTAGTTATCTAGATAAACCTAAGAATAACAATAATTTTATAAGTATTCATAGGGAAAACGATAAAGGTTTTCACTATTGTAATGACTGTATGGGGTGTAAAATATATAAAAATAAACCCAAAAAACTAGAAAGTTTCAGATCACGTGCAGGATCATACAACTACAAAATAGATTCTTTTATTTCATGCCACTCTAAGAATATTATATATGTTCTCGTATGTCCTTGTGGGTTCCAGTATGTTGGGAGGACCTCAAGGACATTTAAAACTAGAATACGCGAACATATATATAATATCAGAAAGGGTTTCCTGAAACATAATGTTTCTTTACATTTTTTAAAAAATCATGGAGGAGACCCCACAGGAATTATGTTTTATGGTATACAACAAATTAGACCCCATTGGAGGGGAGGTCATGGAGAATCAGCCTTGAGCCGTAGTGAGATGAGGTGGATTTTCAATCTGGACACCTTATCTCCTAATGGTCTCAATGTCGATTTCGAAATGAAAGCTCTTATCTGATTGTTTTATATATTGATATTCAATATGGTTAATATTACTTCTCTTTCTCTCCATTTTAGATATATGTTCTTTGAACCTCATTTGTTTTTATATTTCTTATATTTTTTAATTGTATATGTCTATAAGCTTTATATAGTTATAATATGGAGGTATACTATGTTTGCATTTTAAATATATTGCTATGTAATGCCCTTTTATTATTATTATTATTATCTTTTTTATATAAGATTTGTTTGTATTCAATGAGAATATGTCCTTATTCCATTTTATTTGAAGATTTGTTTGTGTACATGTATATATTACATTGTTGCCCTTTTGTAAAATGGTGTTTCTGGCTGCCCTCGTTTCGCCGAGCGAATTTACAGGAAGTGATGTACGGACGTCACGTGCGTCATGACGTAACGACGGAACGTGCGTCATGACGCCATACCGGAAGAACTTTTTGGCGGGAAGACCACATTTCCGGTAACGAGGATATAAAAAGAACGCCGGATGAGGACCTACATTATACACTTGATAAAGACATTTAGTCGAAACGCGTTGTGTTATTGTATGTAATACTATTTTATATTACATTTTATTTTATTGTTTTATTTAAAGTAAATACTTTTTAATACCACTATATTTTGGTCTATCATCAATCCTTCCTACGTCTGGAGCAGATCACCAGTACCTATAGGAGGAGTTTGGAGCCAGTCTGTAAAGCTTGGGAAAGCCGATTTTCCACATGCCATCAAGTTTGAGCCTGCTTTCTAGGCTCTATCTATTGTGAGTGACCCAATACCTCTACATCTACTAGTCCTATATTTTACAGTGTTACACTATGTATGGACTTTTTATGTTTTTCAGATTAAGCCAAAGGAACGTTTTACTATAAGTATATACGTGTTCTGCTTTTTATATATACTCGAGTATAAGCCGAGTTTTTCGGCACATTTTTTGTGCTGAAAACCCCCAACTCGGCTTATACTCGAGTCAGTCTTACATTGCCACAATACAGACCAGGACCGCCGGGCTTGTAATGAGTTGCTGTTGGGGGCTGACAGTGAGCTGTTACTTGCCTTCCTGCAGCTCCTGTCAGCTCCCTCCTCCTCCTCCGTGCAGCTCCTCTGTCAGCTCCGTTCTGCTCACAGTGTAAGTCTCGCGAGAGCCGCGGGTGTCGCGAGACTTACACTGTAAACAGAACGGAGCTGACCGGGGAGCTGCACGGAGGAGGAGGGAGCTGACAGGAGCTGCAGGAAGGTAAGTAACAGCTCACTGTCAGCCCCCCCCCACTGAACTGCCAATGCCACTGGACCACCAGGGATTTAATATTATTAAGATAATATAATATCAAAATAATAATATTTTATTATATTATTATTATAATATTTGCCTTATTTTTTATTTTTTATTTTTTTTGTCCCCCCTCCCTGCTTGTTGCCTGGTCAGGGAGGGGGGACAAAAAAACATTTAAAAAAAAATAATGCAAATATTAAAATAATAATATAATAATAAAATAATAATATTAAAATATATTTAAATAATACATTATTTAAATATTATATTATATTATTTTAATATTTGCATTATTTTTTTAAATGTTTTTTTACTTAATTATGCAAAAATATTACATAAATATGCACATAGAATTTATACATACATATTTATATATTTGAAGTCTACGTGTATTTATGAAATTATTTATGTAATTTTGTGTATAGATATATATTTCGTATTATTTTTATAATTTCATTCTAAGTGTATTTTTCTATAAATATATATTAATATCAACATACAGTTAGAATAAAATTACATATATAATTTGTAAAAATAATTCTTATTATTTTTATTTACTTATTATTATTATTATAATAATTATAATATTTATATATATATATAATGTCTCTCTGTGTCCTTGCACACACACTTTAAATTTCAAAATGCCGGGTGCACTTTAGCCAATACCATAAATTAACATATGAGTATTGAAAAAGACTTGCACTCATGGTCTTTTTTCTTTTAAAAGGTTCCTTTATTTCATTCCTTTAAAATGTGATCGACGTTTCAGCCAACTTCCGTGGCTTTCATCAGGATCAGTACAGTACTGATCCTGATGAAAGCCACAGATGTTGGCTGAAACGTCGATCGCATTTTAACCCCTTAAGGACACATGACATGTGTGACATGTCACGATTCCCTTTTATTCCAGAAGTTTGGTCCTTAAGGGGTTAAAGGAATGAAATAAAGGAACCTTTTAAAAGAAAAAAAGGCAGTGAGTGCAAGCCTTTTTCAATACATATATATATATATATATATAGATATTATATATACACACACACGTGTGTAATTTAATTATAAGTGTATTTTTATATTAATATATGTATATATTAATATAAAAATACATTTAGTATGACATATATATACACACAAGATATAAATATATACAAATATTATAGATATATATATATATATATATATATATATATTATTTCATTTATTAACAATTTAAATTTTTTTATTTTACAGATGCAGGGAGACTGCCTGTCAGTTCAGGCAGTCCCCATGCAGGCAGATTCACAGACGCCTAATGCAGCCATGTGACCGCTCTGTTTGAGCAATAACACGGCCGCGGGGGCCTAATTCACCGAGGGGGGACTGCCAGGGCTGTTTTATCTCGCTGAAGTGCTTTATTCATTAAATGTGTCCTCTTTTTCGTTTTACAAAACGTGCAGATTTCAATAGAAATTGGCACTTTTATAAATTACCTTGTTATCCACCCAGCTGTCAATTAGACAACCGGTCCTGATACTTCATGGTAATACTAGCTCAGTGGAGCTAAACACAAGAGGCAGGCAACTGCCCACAGCACCTGCCTTGCAAAGACTGCTAAATGACCAGCATTGGGAAGAAAATGTTGCAGATAAGAGATCTGCAACTTTAGGGAGCTGTTTTTAGATATAACCTAAATAAAAAAAGCATAATTAAATACATGCATCTACTAAATAGTGATATGCTTGTGTATTTGAGCAGGGAAGTGTCCCTTTACGGCAGACTTCCCCAAACTCTGGCCCTCCAGATGTTGCTGAACTACATCTCTCATGATTCCATGAATGAAATGGATAGGCTGAGAATCATAGGAGTTGTAATTCAGCAACATCTGGAGAGTCGGAGTTTGGGGAAGCTTGCTTTGAGGGATGCTGAAACACCAAAACCACTTTAAACTTAATGAAAAGATTTTGGTGTATAGATAATGCCTCTGCAGTCTTGATATTCAATTATGTATCATTTTGGAGCTAAACCACTTTGTTTATACCGCTTTAGACACACCTTCCCTGGGTGAGAGTCACACAGTGTCCCTACAAAAAAATATGTATATAAAAAAAAAAGTAAATTAAGAGAATAGGAGATACGAACTTCTAAAGTAAACATACCTTGCTGTAAGATCTGATCTAAAATTATTTTATTTTTTTTCCCATGAAGGCTTTGTGAGTTGTTAGTGCTGCACAAACAGAAACAGTGCTGCAGAGAAGTGAACAGTGAAACTGTAGGGACATAATCTATACACCAAAAATGCTTCATTCAGCTACAGTCTTTTTTGGGTGCTTAGAAAGTCCCTTTAAGCTGTTCTGAAAAATAATTTTTTATAGCAACTGACATGATATAGAAAGAAAATAAAACAAAACAAAACAAAAAAGTTACCTAGTTCCAACAGCTTCAAAACAGCTCTTCTCGAAATGCTTAGAACAGAAATATACATAGTCAGAATTTGGATCCCAAAGTCCTTTCCCACTGGGGTCTGTACGCTGGCAATTTATTATCCAAAGATTTCTACGAGGGTCATCTTTCCTGGGAAGCCTTAAAATTAAAGAATTTGTCACACACTAAACCAGTAAAATTATACAAGAAAAAGTAAAAAAATATACAAACAACATGTAAGAGAAAATTACATAAATATGCCACTAATATGTTCTCAAATCAGTTATCTTAACATTGTTTAAGGCTGCAAAGCTTACATAATTAAATATAATCTATATAACATCAGAGCTAACAATTTCAAGTGCTACACTGCTAACCAGGCCTTAAAAGATACTCGCCACTGCAACCCTGGAGAGTCCACAGCTAGTGAAAAATTTGAACCATGTTATGTACCCCATAACGATTTGCTGTGTAATATTTCCATGCCAAGCGAGCTTTAATTATCCAATGTCTTCCAGCTTATGCTTAGGAATTTCCAAAACACTTATTGTAACAAATGCTCTTAATATGATAACATATGGAAAGTCAATAAACAGACCTGTGAAAGGAAATGCTGTTTCCTCTTGTTTGCCTGGAGTCTCGGGAGGTGCAGCCAAGTGCAGAGCAGTGTCGGGGCATCTAAACAGAAGTCAAACCACAGCACACTTAATGAATAAATAACTCCACATTTTTACAATGCATCGGACATCACAAGTATAAATTGTTAAAGGTAATGCTACTAATGCATGTGTTTGTATAATTTATACTATGGAACTACAAGCTAACCAATGCCAATGTACAAATATTTGGTTGAAGGAACACATACACAAACATGTATTTCGAACTCTATAGTGTACAAAGACCATCCATGTGAGGGTTTGAAAGAGGAGTGTTACTTACCTTCAGCCCTCCCCGCTGCTCCACCTCTTGACTTTCAATGTTGATGATCCCAGACAATCCAATGATTCCCCATAGGATTTAATCTACAATCAAGTTTGACTCGCTTATAGCAGAGGAAGTGCCTCTAGTGACTGTCTGACTGACACCCACAAGAGGAGTGTTAACCAGTGCCATCTTAACAGCATTATGGGCCCCTGGGCAATGCAGTGCACTGGGGCACTGCCTACACAACAACTCACAGAAATAAATACATAAATTATTGATAAAATTAAGTTTATATTTTTTGGTACCTTCAACAAATGTAATACATACATACACACAGACTGCTGAATATACAGGGAGTGCAGAATTATTAGGCAAATGAGTATTTTGACCACATCATCCTCTTTATGCATGTTGTCTTACTCCAAGCTGTATAGGCTCGAAAGCCTACTACCAATTAAGCATATTAGGTGATGCGCATCTCTGTAATGAGAAGGGGTGTGGTCTAATGACATCAACACCCTATATCAGGTGTGCATAATTATTAGGCAACTTCCTTTCCTTTGGCAAAATAGGTCAAAAGAAGGACTTGACAGGCTCAGAAAAGTCAAAAATAGTGAGATATCTTGCAGAGGGATGCAGCACTCTTAAAATTGCAAAGCTTCTGAAGCGTGATCATCGAACAATCAAGCGTTTCATTCAAAATAGTCAACAGGGTCGCAAGAAGCGTGTGGAAAAACCAAGGCGCAAAATAACTGCCCATGAACTGAGAAAAGTCAAGCGTGCAGCTGCCACGATGCCACTTGCCACCAGTTTGGCCATATTTCAGAGCTGCAACATCACTGGAGTGCCCAAAAGCACAAGGTGTGCAATACTCAGAGACATGGCCAAGGTAAGAAAGGCTGAAAGACGACCACCACTGAACAAGACACACAAGCTGAAACGTCAAGACTGGGCCAAGAAATATCTCAAGACTGATTTTTCTAAGGTTTTATGGACTGATGAAATGAGAGTGAGTCTTGATGGGCCAGATGGATGGGCCCATGGCTGGATTGGTAAAGGGCAGAGAGCTCCAGTCCGACTCAGACGCCAGCAAGGTGGAGGTGGAGTACTGGTTTGGGCTGGTATCATCAAAGATGAGCTTGTGGGGCCTTTTCGGGTTGAGGATGGAGTCAAGCTCAACTCCCAGTCCTACTGCCAGTTCCTGGAAGACACCTTCTTCAAGCAGTGGTACAGGAAGAAGTCTGCATCCTTCAAGAAAAACATGATTTTCATGCAGGACAATGCTCCATCACACGCGTCCAAGTACTCCACAGCGTGGCTGGCAAGAAAGGGTATAAAAGAAGAAAATCTAATGACATGGCCTCCTTGTTCACCTGATCTGAACCCCATTGAGAACCTGTGGTCCATCATCAAATGTGAGATTTACAAGGAGGGAAAACAGTACACCTCTCTGAACAGTGTCTGGGAGGCTGTGGTTGCTGCTGCACGCAATGTTGATGGTGAACAGATCAAAACACTGACAGAATCCATGGATGGCAGGCTTTTGAGTATCCTTGCAAAGAAAGGTGGCTATATTGGTCACTGATTTGTTTTTGTTTTGTTTTTGAATGTCAGAAATGTATATTTGTGAATGTTGAGATGTTATATTGGTTTCACTGGTAATAATAAATAATTGAAATGGGTATATATTTGTTTTTTGTTAAGTTGCCTAATAATTATGCACAGTAATAGTCACCTGCACACACAGATATCCCCCTAACATAGCTATAACTAAAAACAAACTAAAAACTACTTCCAAAAATATTCAGCTTTGATATTAATGAGTTTTTTGGGTTCATTGAGAACATGGTTGTTGTTCAATAATAAAATTAATCCTCAAAAATACAACTTGCCTAATAATTCTGCACTCCCTGTAGTCACAGACTGCTGAGTACACGTACAGACAGACTGCTGAGTACATACAATCTGCTGAATACACACACACACAGACTGCTGAATACACACACACTGGTGTATACACATGCAGAGACTGCTAAATACACCTAGACTGCTGAATACAAACACACACACTGCTGAATACACCCAGACTGCAGTGAGTTGTCCATCGTTTGTGTGTGAAGGGTGCTGTGTGTGAGGGGTGCAGGGAGCATTAACCCCTTAGTGACCAGACCGTTTTAAAATTTTCTTACTGTTTGGGACCAGGGCTGTTTTTACATTTCTGCGGTGTTTGTGTTTAGCAGTAATTTAGTAATTTTCCTCTTACTCATTTACTGTACCCACACACATTATATACCGTTTTCTCGCCATTAAATGGTCTTTCTAAAGATACCATTATTCATCATATCATATAATTTACACAAAAAAAATTATAAAATATGATGAATTTTTTTTTTTTTTTAAACAAACACTTTTTCTCACTTTGACCACCAAAATCTGTTACGCATCTACAACCGCCAAAAAAATATCCATGATAAATAGTTTCTAAATTTTGGCCTGAGTTTAGAAATACCCAATGTTAATATGTTCTTAGCTTTTTTTGCAAGTTATAGGGCAATAAGTATAAGTAGCTTTTCCAAACCTTTTTTTTTTCTCTTCAAAATTAACGCATGTTACATTGTAACACTGATTTCTCTCAGGAATTCCTGAATAACCGTTCACATGTATATATTTTTTAAAAGAAGACAACCTAAGGTATTAAACTTGGGGTATTTTGACTCTCTTCATGCAACCAAATTACCACCAATCTATGCCAAATAATAATAAAAAAAATAAAAAAAAAAAATTGGTGATTTTCTTGACACACATAGCAATTTAAGAATACATGTACTGAGAACTTTAAGGGTTACTGCCATAAAACACCCCAATATGTGTTCAGCAACATATCCCGAGGACAGTGATACTCCCGATGTATAGGTGTGTTGGGTTCTCTGGGGGCTAAAAGACCTTATTTGGAGGGTGCGCATTCCAGTTTTCCAACATGGAATTTTCACAGCTGGTCATCATGCACCCATTTCCTATTTGGGAGATTTTTGAAGCTGGCCAATGTAACTTACCCCATCAAACCATATATTTTTGAAAAGTAGACACCCTGGGTATTTCAAATGGTGGCATTTTAACACTTTCCATGCACTAATTCTACCACTAGTCTTTGTCACACTTTTGGGTAGTCATTTTTTCATGTTATTTTTCCCTCACATTGTACTTTAGGCATGGATTCTCAGTTCCTGTTATGTGTTACTGACAAAGAACACCCTAATATGTGTTCAGCAACATCTCCTCAGTACAACAGTGCCCCCAATGTACAGGTTTTATGGGTTTTTGCAAACTTACAGGGGACAAATGTAGGGCTTTCCCCTTTTCCATGTTTGCACATTGTAATTTGCCAGATTGGTTTGCCTTTGAGACCGTATAGCAGCCCAAGAATGAAAATTAACCCCATCATGTCATACCATTTGTAAAAGAAGATAACCCACGTTATTCAAAATGGGGTATGTCCATTCTTTTTTAGTAGCCACTTAGTCACAAACCCTGGCCAAAATTAGCATTTATATTGCAGTTTGGTTTTATGTTGGATTCGGACAAATCTGCATATAACATAGGAGATTTGACTAGTTATATACAAAAAAAAAAAAAAACAAGGTGCAAGAGAGTACTGAGAAAGGAAAACAGCTCAAGTAGCCTGTCCTTCGGTGGCTCCCCGCTCAGATCTCAAGCTAGTTTTAGTTCATCTTGTGCCACTACAAAATGAACCAGGACCATTTGCATATCAGACTAATCCCTATAAAAAGGACAGTCCAGATCCAAACTGCAGGCTGGCACTCTCTGCACAAGAGATACAGCAACTAAACACGATCGTTTAAGCCTTGTTAGACTATTTACATACAGCTAAATTAGCTCCATTTGGTTGTTCCAATTACTGAACTATGCATCAAGGAAATCGCACCCAAAACCTTAAGCCCTCTTATCCCATTTCACCCTAATCCTACCCCAAAATACCCAATCACATATTAGAGGACAACTGCCACATCAAATGTTTTTTTAAATGTAATAATCCTTTCATCAACTATTAAAAAGGATTTTAATGAAGTCCTCGTAAAAATGAGAAAGTCATCCTTACCTTTAGTAGATGAGAGGATCCTTCAGCCTTTGATTGGACAGTGTTTGAAAACTGACAGTTAGTCTCTATGGTCTTCCCGGCTTCACTCCCTACAAAGAACCAGGAAAACCAGAGAGACCTACACTGTCTAACCAAAGGTGTATGTATATGGCTGAAGGACCCTGCCATTTACTTAGAGGACCACTAAAATCACCCTAACCACTTCATCTTAATAAAGTGTTTTGGGAGCTGTGATGCTGTAATGTTAACCCTGTAAATGAAAACATTGCAATTTTGTAGAAACTGCAATACTTAGATTGCAGTGTTAAAGGACAACTGTCACCTCAAATTTTTTACAAAATGTTTTAATATAATAATTATTTTATCAGGTATTGAAAGGAAATAGACTTTAAAAAAAAAAATAATAATAATAATAATAAAAAAAAATATATATATGTAGAATAAGATAGAAAACAAACAAAAAACAACAACATAGCTTTAGCATATGACAGGATCCTTCATATACATGCACCTTGGGTCAGCCAGTGTTTGAATTTGATAGTCAGTCTCTATAGGAGTGTTGCCCAAAAGGTAGATCTCCAGATGTTTTTAAACTACAGCTTCATTGATGCTTTGTCATTCTAAAGCTTTCTAGAGGCATGGAGAGCATCATTGTAATTTAATTTTTACAACATCTGGGGATCTACCATTTGGGCACCTCTGATTCTATAATCTTCCCTGCCTCAATACAGGGAGTGAAGCAGGGAAGACCACAGAGACTAATTGTTTGCAGACAAACATGGTCTGACAAAAGGTGCATGTATATGGTTAAAGTATCGTCTCATATACTAAATGTATGGATGAGTTTTTTTATTTTACGTATACTTAACTAAAAACAAAACAAGCACTACCACCTTTACATACTTGATGAAAGGATTATTAAAAAATATTTCTGAGATGACAGAGGTCCTTTAACTACACTTCAAATGGTCACTGAAACCCACTAGAGATGCTTCTTCTTTCGGAACAGACAAAGCATTTCATTGAAAGACGGCTGCGTTTTGCCACCCATGCACAACTCTAATCCATTGCTTCTCTATGACAAGCAATTAATTGGAAGAGATTGTAAATGGCATCAGCAGGCATCCGCAGCAAAGGAATCCCCGCTTTGGAAACGAGGTAAATACACTTTTTTTTTTTCTAAAGCAAAGAGGGTGTTGACAGAGGGAACCGGTTGTCCTGATAAAAAAAAAAAAAAAAAAGTTTCTATTTTTTTTTATATTGACTTCATTTTAAAAAAAAATCAATTTCCTTTCAATACTTGATGAAAGGACTATTATAGAAAAAAATATATTGAAGTGAAATCCCTGACTCTAAACATTACATTAGTTGCATCTGTTTTATTTTAATATTTTTCTTGAGGCAGTAAAATTATTTCCGCAATTTGTTTGGGCTATTTTAGAATGAATCTAACTGCAGCTGTTAAATACATTTAAAAATAGCAGGGATTCATTCAGCTCACTTTGGTTACCATTCAGTTGTTAGTGTATACAGTGAATTACATAGGAATTTTAACAACCAAGTGCATGAAAAATAAGTTGAATGCAACCAGCTGAAATTCCAAAAGCACATTTGATGTTTCGTGAGTAGGCCCTTGACTTCATAATATGGTTTGTGTCTACAACCTGGTGACGTTACCTCAGAGATGCCAACTGTTGCAAATATTGCAGGAACTGCAGTGTCCCTCAGGCGGACAGTTTGCCCGGTTCTATCAAACTGCTTATCCTGAAAATGCTGGGAACAAAGAGAGCTGTGAATTGACGGTGTCCACTCACTTCCAGCGGCTTCATGTGAGAGGGAGACGGCAGTGACCCACAGCTTCCTTCTTACATCTTCCTTTGGAAATCTAGAGGATAATGAATAGTACAGGGCTAAAAAGCTGCCATATTACACATGAACTACATTAATACGAAACTATGTCTAAATGTGCATATAATTAAACGGTGGGGTGAAAAATTAACTAACATTTTACAAATATTTCCTAAGAATGTATCTATCATTAGCTGCAGAAGCATTAAGGACAAATCTCCATTCCAAAGCTTCATGAGTGGCTTTACTGAGGTTTAGGGATTTCATATAGAAAATCATACTTAGGGCTGTATAAGATGAAAGTGACATTTTTAAAAGGGTTACACAAAACACCGTCATCCAGTAGTTTCCTTTTAAAAGCATTCAGCTACTGGAGTTGTAAATTCCCCTCTGAATGAGGACTGAATTACTAATTTGATATATTTCAAAAAGCACAATGATTTATTATTTTGTTTGTGAAACTGAGCTGCTATGATCCCACGTTCTTGCTATGAACTTTGAGCTTACAGTATAAGACCATACCATTTTACAAAAAGCATGGTGCTCATTTGCTGTTATGCCTATGTATTGTATGGGAAATATAGTCATTAATTTATAACTGTTAAAATTAAACAGCATTGCGAAATATATTGATACTTAACTAAAGGAGATACTTAATTGGGCAAAGTGCTAAACATATCTACAGAAATTATTAAAGCATTAGAAGCAGTCATCATGCATAATTACCTGTGAAAAGTTATACCCTTTCTTCTGCTCAAAGAGGTCTGACGGTTGAAACAATTAGCAGCAGAACACGACCGCACCATTTCGTTCTATTTATGGATCACTTCTGATATGATAAAACACACAAAAATATTGTTTTAATTATAATAAAATGTTTTACTTATGTATTTATTAACAGATTCGTTTTTTAATCTTGCCAATCCCAAATTTAAAATAAGGAACGGAAGAAAAAAAACCCCAGCAGCTGTACTGTACGATAAACTGCAAATAATATAACCACACAAAAATATGACAAAACTGTATATAAAATATATACTTAGATTTGGATTGATGGATGTCTTGCTGTTACTAAGGTCAGCTGTCTAATGTAACTCATTTATGATAAAGTGTGAAATACCAGAAATTCAAAGTTAAGGCCAAAATATATATATATATCAACGGACATTGAGTATTTCTTCATTGAACTATTTTGCCATTTATCAGTCCAAATGTACAAGCTGGTAAAAAGTACTATTTTTATAAATAAATATTTAAGTTCACTAAAATATGCTTTTATAAAATAAAACAAAATATCACTATGCTTTAAAAATAAACAGTGGTAATGAAATTCTGTTACATGTCTTATGAAGCGTAACAGTCTAATGCTCTCCAGTTTCTGTGAACTACCACCTCCATCAGGCCATATCAGATAATTATTGGTAAATGACAGCGGAAAGAAAATTGCTGCCAGGAGCTTTCAAACTGTACCACAGCTACCTTGCCAGATACACCATGATTTCATGTATTGGTATCTAGTCATGCTGATCGGAGTGTCATGCATATGGGATTTCGATGATACAGTTGGAAAGAAATGTCCACTTCCCCCCAAAAATTTATAAAATAAAAACATTCCCTATGGAATTCATGCTTTATCAATGAATTGACTGACATCCTGCAGCATGTGGATTCTTCAAGCTAAAGGGAAGCATTTTGTGGGCCATTCATTCTTCATTTGATGGCCCTTAGCGTGTAGGACTAATATGTGTCCAGGGGGGGGAAAAAATGCATCGGGTATCTTATTGTGCAGCGCTACGGAATTTGTTGTCGCTTTATAAATACTACATCCCCCCACCAACATACCAAAGTGCCTAAGTTGCCCTCCCATGGTGATGAACCCCAGACCATCGCAGATATTACACATAATTAGAGACACTGTAATTGCTGGTAGTAGTGGTTGTGGTGGGGGTATCAGAAGTTCCCTTTGACCCTGTGTGAACATTCCAAGCAGTACTTGACCCCTGCACATGGAACGTGAGCACGTTCTAGAACTCTGTGTAACCCCTTCCTGTGTGTGAGATCCAGCTGTGACCCTGCACAGTACCTGGCCGGTGGGCACACACAGGTAGGTCACCCTAACCCGCGGCACCGAGATTTTCAGCTCCCTCCACACATCCCAACCATCCTCACTTCCTCACTCCGCAAACTTCCCCTCCACAACAAACACAGAGCGTCTCATAGACCCGAGCAGCATCGCCAGACACCGACATCGCCTCCTGCTGGACGGGAGACATAATGCAAGACGCTCTGTTTGCATGTAGTGTGTAATAATAATAATAATATCCAGGCATGAAACATAAGGGGATAGGTTCGATAGGAATTTTTTTTTTTTAAATTATTTCATATTTATGCAATATTTGAGTTTGTCATCTATATGCTAAAAAATATATATTATATGTAACTATATTATTGGTAATTTGCGGTAATATAGAAATTATACATCATAACATAATATTTACAAAGAGTCTGGGTGACTAAAAAAAAAAAAAAGTTTGAGCATTTCACAAAGATAAAATCTTTATGAAATACCCACAGAGACGGCATTGGAACAGTCAAAGTACCTGTACATACAACACACGTATAGTATGAATAAAACCAATATCTAAAATCAATAATACAATCAGCACTAGCAAAAACCAAAAAAAAAAAGAATGAAAAGAAAAAGTGCAAATGACTTTATATATACATATAAAAACCATTTAGTTGATAAACCCCTATGTGTAAATACAAGCATGGATGAAACAATATAAAGTGTAGAAATGTGATTATTAATAGTGATCACTCTAATAAACTGACTTACAGAAAAATGCTTAAAGGAACACTATAGTGTCAGGAATACAAATGTGTATTCCTGACACTATAGTACATAGTTGCCAACTGTCCTGTTTGTGCCTGGACAGTCCCAGCTAGCTGGAGTCTGTCCCGGGTAAATCACCCTCCCGGGACAGTCCCGGCAACTTGCTGGCCATGTGCTTTTATTATGTTCCCTCGGACTATAACAGCCTGTTACAGTCCGAGGGAATTCAGGAGAGAGATGCTGGGGCTGTACAGACGTGCTGGGGGCTGCATTGAGGCTGCTGGGGTGGGAGGGAGCAGTGACAGTCTCCCTAGTGAGAAAGCTTGTGTGTGTGTGTGTGTCTGCTAGTGAGAAAGCTTGTGTGTGTTTGCTAGTGAGAAAACTTGTGTGTGTCTGCTAGTGAGAAAGGTTGTGTGTGTGTGTGTCTGCTAGTGCGAAAGCTTGTGTGTGTGTGTGTCTGCTAGTGAGAAAGCTTGTGTGTGTGTCTGCTAGTGAGAAAGCTCGTGTGTGTGAGAGCTTGTCTGCTAGTGAGAAAGATTGTGTGTGTGTGTCAGTGCCCAGACCGACTGTCACGATTCGGGGAACCAAACACGCCAACACACACACACACACAAAGTGCCGTACCGGACCTTAGAGTGGCCGGGCTAAGCACACAAAGAATAGTCAGGAAACAAGCCGAGTAAGGGGAACCAGAAGACAGAATAACGTGAAACAAGCCGAGGTCAAAGGGTAGGAGAAAGTCACAGAGTCGGATAACAAGCCAGAGAGTACGTAACCAGAAGCACAAGTTCAGAATCAATACTAACAAGCAAAGACCACAACAGGGCAAGGAGGAACAGGAAAGGTAAGTATTTAAACCATCAGGTTAATTCTGATTGGATGATTTCCAATCAGAATTAACAATCACACGTGGGAGATATTTAGACCTCCCACTGTGATTGTGGCACTTTGCCTTTAACGCCGGGTCAGGTGACTGACCCCGGCGTGTATAAACCTGGGCGGTCTCCCAGCGTGCAGCGTCATGCATGCTGCCGCTGGGGGACGTGGAGGGAACGGCGGGCGGCATCCGAGGCTGGAAGGATGCCGCTCGCCGTACCCACGAGGCGGAGGGGACCGCGGACGGCTGGAGGGTGAGTACTGCGAGCGGAGTGCAGCCTCCCCTCGCAGCCGCCCGCGGGAGCCTGACATTACCCCCCCCTCGAAGACCACCCAGGGGGTGGGAAGCGGAAGGCTTCAAAGGAAAGCGGGCATGAAAGGAGCGGACCAAAGAGGGAGCGTGCACATCGGAGCTTGAAACCCAGGACCGCTCCTCAGGGCCGTACCCCTTCCAGTCCACCAAATATTGCAGCCGACCCCTAGAAACACGAGAGTCGAGAAGGGTAGCCACCTCGTACACGTCGTCAGAGACAGCTCGAGGGGAAACGGGCCGCCCGAGGGGACGAGAGAACCGGTTACACAGCAAGGGTTTCAAAAGCGAGACGTGAAACGTGTTCGGGACACGCATGGAAGGAGGCAAATCAAGGGAGTAGGAAACGGGATTAACCCTACGTAACACCTTGAAGGGACCAAGAAACCTGGGGGCAAATTTCATCGAGGGAACCTTGAGACGGAGGTTCCGGGAGGACAACCATACCCTATCACCCGGAACATAGGAAGGGGCCGCAACCCTACGGCGATCAGCAAACTTTTTCTGAGCAGCTGCTGAACGAGACAGCGCAACATGGACTTGATCCCACGTCTTCCGCAAAGAGGCGAGGTGCTGGTCCAAGGCGGGCATTCCCTTGTCGGAGAACGCACCGGGAAGGACAGAAGGACGAAACCCATAAGCAACCTCAAAAGGACTTAAGCCAGTAGACGAATGAGACACCGTATTCCTGGCAAATTCAGCCCACGGAAGAAGGCGAGACCAGTCATCCTGGTGCGCATTAGTGAAGCAGCGCAAATACAATTCCACAGACTGATTAGCACGTTCGGCCGCACCATTAGATTGCGGGTGATAGGAGGAAGAGAACGACAAGGATACCCCCATCTCAGCACAAAAGCCCCTCCAGAACCGAGAGACAAATTGAGGGCCCCTGTCAGATACGATATCCTGGGGTACCCCATGCAATCGGAACACTTCTTTGGCAAATACCTGAGCTAACTGAACCGCAGAAGGCAGTTTCTTAAGCGGAATGAAGTGCGCCATTTTAGAGAACCTATCCGTCACAGTCAGTATCACTGTCTGACCATCAGAAAGAGGCAGGTCTACAATGAAATCCATGGATAAGTGGGTCCATGGTTTCTTGGGTATAGATAGAGGCATCAGAAAACCCTGGGGTCTCACATTAAGGGACTTACATTGCGTGCAGACCTGACAAGCCTGAACAAAATCCACTACGTCTCGCTTGAGTGAAGGCCACCAGAACTGTTGAAGGAGGCCCTTGTAGGTTTTGGTAACCCCCGGATGACCAGCAGTTTTGGCTGTGTGAAATAAAGTTAACAACTTTTTTCTGTCATTAGCTTCAACGTATAGTTTACCAACCGGCGTCTCAGGGGGTGCCTGGGTTTGGTATGTCTTAATACTGTTAAGGAAAGGTGAAGAAACAACCAAACGGGTAGCAGCTATTATCTGAGACTCAGGTACAATAGGTTCAGGAGTCGGGTTAACAAATTCTACTGGTTCATGCTGCCGAGAGATGGCGTCAGCTTTGGCATTACGGCAACCAGGTCTATAGGTGATAACATATTGGAAGCGTGAGAGAAATAGAGACCATCTAGCCTGCCGGGCAGATAACCTTCTAGCATCAGCAATATAGGATAGATTCTTATGATCTGTTATAACCATAATTTTGTGTCTAGAACCCTCTAATAAGTACCTCCATTCCTTGAAAGCTAACACAATGGCTAATAGTTCCCTATTCCCAACATCATAATTCTTCTCTGAATCAGACAACCTTTTAGAAAAATAACAACAGGGATGGAGGGGTTTGTCATAAGACAACCTCTGTGACAGTACGGCTCCCACACCTGACTCCGAGGCGTCTACTTCCATAACAAAGGGAAGAGAAGGATCAGGGTGGTGCAGCACTGGAGCAGAGGCAAATGCCTTCTTGAGGGTTTCGAAGGCCTTAAGGGCTTCAGGAGTCCAAACCCTAGGATGTAGACCTTTTTTTGTCAACTTCGTTATGGGAGATATGAGTGGTGAAAAGTTTTTATAAATTTCCTATAATAGTTGGCAAATCCTATAAAACGCTGGATAGCCTTTAGTCCTTGGGGAAGTGGCCAGGACATTATAGCTTCCAATTTAGCAGGATCCATACTGAAACCCTGTTCAGTAATGATATATCCTAGGAATTGCACAGAGGTCTGATCGAATAAACATTTTTCTAACTTACAGTAGAGTCCGTTCTGCAATAGCCTTTTGAGCACCATCCTAACATGGTTATGGTGTGACTTCAAATCAGGAGAATACACAAGTATGTCGTCAAGGTATACTACAGCACAGACATGCAATAGATCCCTAAGGACATCATTTATGAGGTCCTGAAACACGGCAGGAGCATTACACAATCCAAAAGGCATGACCAGATATTCGTAATGCCCACTGCGTGTGTTGAAGGCTGTCTTCCACTCGTCATTCTCCTTTATACGGACAAGGTTATAAGCCCCCCTGAGGTCTAATTTGGTGAAAAATTTAGAACCTTTAACACGATCAAACAACTCAGTGATGAGGGGGATAGGGTAGGCGTTTTTAACCGTTATATTGTTCAGACCCCTGTAGTCTATACATGGCCTCAAATCACCCTCCTTCTTAGCCACAAAAAAGAAACCAGCACCAGCAGGAGAGGAGGACCTTCTAATAAAACCTTTTCTTAGGGATTCCTGTATGTACTCCTCCATGATTTGGTTCTCTTTTTCAGAAAGAGGGTAGACCTTTCCCCTAGGAGGCATAGTGCCCGGTAAGAGGTTTATGGCACAATCATACTCACGATGTGGAGGTAGCTTATCTGCCTCCCTCTTCTCAAAAACCAAGGCAAGATCCGCATAAACAGAGGGCACAGAAACCGAGAGTGGTTTAGCCGTGGGTACGTTAAGTAAACAGACAGGACGTACATGAGCCACACAGTCTCGCTGACAAGATTCCCCCCAGGAAAGTATGTCTAAACAACCCCAATCAAGAACAGGGTTGTGTTTAACTAACCAGGGAAAACCTAGAACGATGGAGGCTGTTGGGGAGTCAATTATTTGGAAGGTTAACTTCTCTTTGTGCAAAACACCCACAGACATAACTATTTCCTGGGTTTCATGGGTCACCAGAGGTTTCTCCAGTGGTCTACCATCTATGGCCTCAACGGCCAAGGGTGTCTCCTTTCG